AAAAGAGAGAGAATTAAGGTCCTGCCATGGTTGCATACCAAGTAGGATAGAGATGCTAATGTGTTTTTAACTAAGATAAACACATCGTCAAATAAAAGGTGTGTAGTTCAAATCCATTAAATAAGAAGGAATTCTTTGAAATGATATTGTTGAGGGGTTAAAACCCTTTAGTTTTTTGGATGAGGTCAATAACCTTAAAATTTATAAGTTATAGGACTAAATGCGAGATTAAGCCAATTAAGGTGTATAATTCACATTAATTAATTCTAATCAATTTAAATCCATTTTAAGGCTAATTTTATCTTGATTAAAGTTTATTTCTTTAATTAATCTTAATCAACTAGGATAAATTATCTTAATTTCTTTAATTAGTCTCAATCCATATAAATGGGAATTGGTAAAATTCACACTCTTTTTATTGTCCCACATCTTTCTTAATCGGTTCACTTTAGTCCCTTACTTTTAATTTGTTCCAAGTCACCATCCTTATTTCTAATAGCATTCAGTTGAGTCTTAGGTTTTGACAAAATCTTTCAATCTCACCCATCCTTTTTGAGTTACGTTAACTAAGGCCTTATATAGGAAACAAGTTGAAATAAACTCCCTAATTTTAAAGTATGGAACCAAGTTTTTACACGGAGAGGATTATGAGGTGCACTCAAGTCCTTCCTCACTCATAATCGTACTGCTGAGTCTTGATCTCTTGTAGACCATTGGTAACTTATTCCACTTTATTTGAGTAGGTGGCGACTCCCATTTTTGCCATTAAAACTTAATTTTTCAAGATAATATAATTCTTGAAATTTTAAGTAAAGGTGCGTCAACAATTTGGCAATTCCATTGGAGATTGAATCTAGAGTAAGAATCTCTGATTTTCATATATTAGATTCACTAGGGGCGACCTAATACTTTAAAGTTAGGGAATTTTTGACTTTCCTATCTTTGAGTGGTGAAGCCTTGTTTGAGTCTTTTGTTAGGTGTTTGTATCGTTTTGCCCATTTGCACATCTAACCCATGCTATGTCATTCATCATCTTTTGCCATGTTCATGCCTCATTACATTTACATATACATGCATCATACCTCACTTATTTTGCATTATGCACATTCTTGACATGTTTATTTGTTTGTTTGTGAGTGCACTAACCGTTTGCACTTGGTAACGGAGTATTAGGTGAATTTCTACCCGCTGTGTGCTTGGATTTGGTTGTGACTATGTTTGTCGTTTTGCATGCCATTAATATTTTATCGTGATATCAGTTAGGGGTGCAACAAGCTTAAGGGAGCTCGCATTTGCACCTGTTGCTTTAGCTGCTTTATTTATTTATTGCTACCATAACTGTTTAATTTCTATATATTTTTGTTCTTGTGAGATATTGTTGCTTTTGGCTCAATATGAAGGCACTCTCTCTTTAATTAATTACCTTAATTAATTTAAAATAACATTAATTGATATTTGTTTAAATTAATCTAGTTTGCAAGCAATGGAGTCCAGCCAGATTTCTGTGGAGATTGTTGAGCTGCCGCTTGAAAATCCAACTTTGGAGTCACCAGCCAAGGACGACACTAGTGATAATAATGAGGTTGTGAGGTGCTCCTCGATTGCTTCTTTACAATGCACTCAAAGACCATTTCGAAGACAAAGTAGCTTGTTAAAGGTTAAGACTAAGTCAAGGATAATGGACCATACGGTTGGAAATTTTGTGGAGGAAGAGGAGGAGCAGGATCAATTAGTCGAAAAGGATGAGTTAGTCAAAGAGGACTTAGAGCGAAAAAGTCTATGGGTTTTGTTCCAATGGGTGGGTTTTGTTTTGATAACAACGGCTTTTATTTGTAGCCTTAGTCTTCCAAGTTTCAGAAAGAAAAATTTATGGAAACTTGAGTTATGGAGGTGGGAAATCTTGGTTTTGGTAGTTATATCTGGAAGGTTGATATCAGGTTGGATTATTAGAATAATAGTGTTTTTCATTGAGATGAACTTTCCGTTAAGGAAGAGGGTTTTTTACTTTGTTTATGCATTGAGGAACATAGTTCAAAATAGTCTGTGGATGGTTCTGATTTTGATTGTTTGGCAGTACTTGTTTGATAAGAATGTTGCGAAGGAAACCGATAGTAATGCTCTTAGATTTGTTACTAAGGTTTTAGTTTGTGTTGTGATGAGTCTGGTGTTTTGGCTTGCGAAGACACTATTGGTGATGGTTCTTCCATCATCTTTTCATAAGAGCACAGACTTTGATAGGATACTAGATTCTTTATTTAATCAGTATGTGATTGAGGCACTTTCAGGACCACCTAAAAACAAAAAAATAGATGAAGAAGGGAAGGGAATTGGAGGGAGTGGAAAAATGAGGAAAAGTCCACAAGACAAAACCAATACACCCTTTTGCTTGGCTTCTAGAAAGGGACATAAAAAAAGTTGGCACATGAGCATTGATGAGCTTCACCAAATGAATCCTAAGAATATATCTGCTTGGAATATGAAGGAGCTACTGAATATAATTCAGCATGGTCCATTTTCTACCTTGGACAAGCAAATAGAAGATAGCAAGTCAACTAAAATTAAAACCGAAAATGAGGTGGAAAACGCAGCAAAAAGGATATTTGAAAATGTTGCTAAGCCTGGAATTGGGTATGCTCTTGATCAATTTCTCTTACACTTGTATCCAAAATATATTTTGTGTATGTCTGTTGCATAACTAATGAGTGATAAACTCAAAGTTGCCTCGAGGTCTTTTATATTTTATTCATTAGAGGTGGTTCTCTATGTTTATTGTAATCTTAATTGCTTTTTCTTTTGAAAAAGCTTGTGATCTAACTACTTTATCAGGTACATTGACTTGGAGGACATTGAGAGATTCATGGGAGAAGATGAGGCCCGGAAGACTATGAGACTCTTTGAAAAAGGATCTGAAAGCAAGAGAATTAGCAAATTAGCAGTGGAGAATTGGGTGGTAAGAATATGGCAATCTGAGCCACTAAGTTTGTTTTACTTAATACTTTTACTATGTCATGATAAATGTTTGTGCTTTAATGTCTCTAAATGTCTTAGGTTAATGCTTTTTGGGAATGGAGGGTTCTTTCCTTGACACTGAATGATACCGAGACAGCTGTTAAAAGACTTCATCACGTGGTAAATGTCTTGGTCATTATCATCATAGCAGCCATAAGTCTCCTTATAATAGGAATAACAACTGAGAGAGTCTTTCTCATGGTTAGCACTCATGTTCTTTCGCTTGCTTTCAAATTTGGAGACACTTTGATCTTCATATTTGTAACTCGTCCATATGATGTTGGTGACCGTTGTCAAATTGATGGCGTTCAAGTAAGTTGATAATTATATGAACTATGTCCTCATCTAGTCATCTTTGGTCTTTATGGTCTTACAATTTTCTGTTTCTCGTATGTTTGTGGCCTAAATTGAAATGCAATGGATTTCAGATGGTAGTGGAAGAGATTGGCATCTTGAACACTATTTTCTTAGGACATGACAACGGGAAGATCATAATCCCAAATAGTGTCCTTGCTAGAAAACCCATCTGTAACTTTTATTCAAGCCCTGACATGGGAGATGAAATTGAGTTTTGTGTCCACATAGCTACTCCAGTGGAAAAAATTGATATGATGGAACAAAAGATACTAAGGTAAGTTTGCCTGCTTGCTTGCTTGCATGTGGGTTTGTGGGCACTCATGGGTAGGTAATTTAAGTAAACGGTTTTGATCTTAATATGATTGCTTTGATGTCTCTATCGACATATACAGGAGTCCTTATGCGTATATAACACTAAAATTAATTATTTCCTCATAATGCAGTTCAATAAAGAATAATAAGAGACATTGGTATCCGGAGACAAAAATGGTCTACAAGGATATTGAAGACTTGAATAAGCTGAGGTTGAAAGTCTCTCTGAAACACAAAATGAACTATCAGGACATAGAAGAGAGGGGGAATAGAAAATCACACTTGCTGCGTGAGATTACTAACATTTTAAGGGAATTGGAAATAATTCAGTTGCCTTAGGAGTTCAATGGGTTTTATTTATAATTATGGTTTACATTTCAAATTTAGTTTTGTATTCAGTATGATTATTAATTTGGCAAGCATATGATTATTAGTTTTTCATTCGTTCTTCCTTTGATTGTTGTGATTTCTCACTAGTTTGATTGCCATATATTCCGTTTTTAAAACCTTGTTTGATTTCATTATCATCTCTAAGGATTTAATTTTCGTTCTTTTTCTTTTATAGGCATAAATTTCCTTTGGTTAAATGTCAAGTTTAAGAGGATTTCATTTTGTTGTAGATAAATTTAGAGGTTATTAGAGAAATGTTTCTTCCTTTCAATGTGATGATTTTCTGGAATTAGCTTAAATATTGCCTGTGTTGGTTTAAGGATGAGATTATAGTATTATATACTATCAAGGGAACTTTTATATTCCATGTATTATTGTATTGATCAAAGACAAGTCAAGGGCTTCTTTTGTCTATTAACTTAGTGTCAGTTTTATCTCTTACATATCGTAAAGTTAGCTGTAAATTTGCTTCTACTACTCCTTTATTGGGGCTTCTTTTGTCTATTAACTTAGTGTCAGTTTTATCTCTTACATATCGTAAAGTTAGCTGTAAATTTGCTTCT